GGGTGAGTAAAATGTCTACACATGTAATTAAATATTATCCAGCCTTTACAAAGAAGGAAATTCTGCTACTCCATAGACTAACCTTGAGGATATTATGCTAGGTGAAAGAGGCCAGGCACCAAAAGATAAATGTTATATGATTTTATTGGCATAGGTACCTGGACTAGTCAGATCAATAAAAACAGAAAGTAGATTGGTGGCTACCAGGAGTGAGGGAAGAGAGTAATAGTGGGTCATTATGTCCTGAGTTAAAAGTTTACTTGGAAAGATAATGGTTTCTGGAGATGGATGGTGGTCATGACTTCATAACAGTGTGAAAATAATGTCCACTTTAAGATGGGCAGAGTGGGTAAATTTTATGTTGTATTTTATGACAACAATAATTTTTATAAATACATCATCTGTGACTACAGTCTTCTTCAGACTTGGTTGGAGCTGGAAAATGTGCTTGAAAACTGACCCATGCATTTGAGAAGACTTCCATGGCCCACTGGCTATGGGTGGTAGGCTTCACTCCTCCTGCTGTGCTCACCCACAGGACAAATTGGACTCACACATGGTAGTTTGCTTCCCCCACAGTGAGTAACCCAAGAGCAAACAAGAGCAAAAGTCTCAAACCCAGGTGCCTTCATCTTTGGAGAACCAAATCCCAAAGGCATCATCTTGACTGTGTGCTATTCGTTATATAAGCCAACCTGGGTTTACTCTGGGAAGCAGCCCCAAAAAACACGAAAAGTGGGAGGTGGAGATTGGCTATCTCAGAGACTTTATTCCACACATAGTTAATAATGAGAACATAAAGACCCAGTTCACTTGCTTCATTTCCATGAAGTGAAATGAATAGTGACCCTAAGAACTGGTTGTTGTTGTTGTTGTTGTTGTTGTTGTTGTTGTTGTTGTTGTTTGGAAATGAAGTCCCTGTGTATCCCAGGTTAGCCTTGAACTTATGATCCTCCTGCCACAGCCTCTCAAGTGCTGGAATGAGAGGTATATGCCCTCGTGCCTGGCTCATCTCTGGTTTCTGTTTAGACTCTCTCCAGTTTCCCGATAACCAACTTCTGCTGTGTCCCAACCATCTTCCGGCTGCTAGTTCAGGAGGATCTGACCAGGTATGGTCCATCATGTGGGGCTGTGAGGAGCTGATGATACACATACACTACAGGGGAGACCACACACACAGCACCTGCTCTTGGGGCAACTTAGAGCACAGGGAAGTTAACCCTGTAGACCTTTGGGGCATCTGTACCCATGCAAGGCTGCTGGAGGGTAGGAGGAGATGGGCCCTGACTGGGTGGCCAACCTTTCATGCCTGAGATAGGTACAAGTTTCAGAGTCTGAAACACTGTTTGACCGGGGGAGAAGCTCTCAATCCTGATGTGCGGGAGAAGTGGAAGAGCCAGACGGGTCTGGAGCTCCATGAAGGCTACGGGCAATCAGAGACGGTGAGCACCGGGCCAGCCCCTGCCTTTATAGCAGCCCTCAGGCATCTGAGGGTCATGGCCTACAGCACCTCCTGCCTTTGTAACTGTCCTCTCTCTGACACTTGTCTCCAGAGAAAAACATGGACAGTGAAGCTCTAGTAACAAAACTCTGTCAGCTTTTCATCCTTTTGGTTTTAAAGTAATTTTCCAGTTGTCCCAGCAAACAACTCTCCTAGGTAGAGGTATTGTCTAACTCCGCCAGAACAATACACACCTGTCCCTAATGGAGCCCCAAATCCTAAGCAATGTCCCCTACAGCTACTGGGGCACAGATGGGGGTATCAGTTGTATCTTCTGGCTTAGTGATAATATACAAAGTTCTTTGTGTGAGTTCACATTAGTGTGCTCTGTAAATGTTTGTTGACTTGGAAAGAAGAGAGGAGAAAAAGAAGAAAATGAAAAGAAGGACAGTAGGATAAATGAATAGATGGATGGATGGATGGATGGATGGATGGATGGATGGATGGATGG